CCGCCCCAGCTGCTCCCCACCAAGGGGATCTGGTGAAGCACAAAGGTGGGCAGAGCAGGGCAGACCTGAGGACCCCCCACACCACACTCGGGGGGACCCCAGACCTCCCCCGTGGCAGGAGGTGGGGTGTAGAGCCACGCAGGTTAGCCACAGTGCCAGAGCCACCGTGGGGGCCACAGTCACCACTGACCAACGCCAAAGGGGTAAAATCCCATCACCAAGGAGCCTCCCGGGAGCACAGTGAAATGGTGGCCCTCCTGGGTAGCACAGTGCAAGGGCTGGGTCAGTGTCACTGGAGAGGGTCTACACCACACCACGTGAGACCCACCAAGACCCTTTCCTGCCCCGGCATCCCTTTAGGTCCCCAGTCAGCAATGGAAGATGCTCCATGCCACCCGCTCTCGCAGCAGGGCTGGACAGGGCTTCCAGTTCATGGTCTGGAGTTAGGAGAGAGGAACTGGGAGAGGAAGGGAGGATGGAAAGAGGAAGGGAGAAAATAACTGCCCAGTTGTAAATCCCTACCTGGGGAGGAAGGACTTTTTTTTTTCCTTGCCTGTTGAAGGGTATTTCTGCTCTCCCCATTTGCTTACTGGTGGGACTGCGGCTGGGGGGGTCTCTCCCAGGGGACGTTTGCTGAGCCCCCCCATCTGCAAAGAATGCAGAACCCCAAATCCAGGCCACGTTCCCGACACAAGCTGTATTTTCTCATTAGCAACTGATGCTACAGTTTATCACAAGTCAACCACACCACACATCTCCTCACCTGCACGAAGAGATAGTCACAGCAGAGTCATTCAAGCAAGGAGGTGAAACGCCCTGGCCTCAAAGCACAGCTTGATCTGGTACCAGAGAGATATCAAAACCCAGCCAGAGACCCTCCAAACACAGGTTCAGCCGTGGGCTGGGCTGATGAGTCACAGGCTTTGGTCTTGTCGCTCTCCCAGCACGGAGGGGTTCGCTCAGCAGGCGACGCGGCTGCCGCGCTCCTGGGTCTCCTCCCTGCCCAGCTTTAGGGTGCTTGGAGAGTGTCCACAATGACCTCTGCACAAGCTTGGATTGCACTGGGAGGGGGACCTCAGCCAGCAGCAGGTTTTGGGCCGGTGTATCACCTCCCAAGAGATATCCTGTAGGGACACATGGGATGTAAGTAGATGTAGGAGCAAGTGCCAGAACCACCTAACACTTCTTTCTCCTTGTCTGTGTATTTGTGTGTTGCAGCAATATCATCCCACCGACATCACCGGCCAGCTCAACCTCTCCGACCCCTCAGTCAGCACTGTGGTGTGACCTTCTCCCCCGAGGGCCATCAGTCCTTACCCAACACAGTAGGAAGGCGCAGACAGGACTGCCTTTCAAGGGACACTGATGGGTTCTTCTGGGTGAGACGGGAGGAAAGCATCCTTCATCCATACACAGTGACTCCATTGTAGATCTCCCTCCCTTCCTAGGCCTGCTGCCATGCTCGTGCCCCAGGACGCACAGCAGAACCAGGACACGGTTTGGACTTCACTGTACAGAGATTATTGCTTCCAACCAGTGCTGTTGATAATCGATATTGCCACTGACTGGCTACGTGCAAGGAGAAAGGACTTTGAAAGGCACGTGGTGCCTGTTCTCCCACAGTAGCAGGGAAGAGCTGGTGCCCGACTACAAACATGTGCTTCACTTTGCAGGCTTCAGGCTTCTCAGCACATGCACGGCCCCACAGACGTGTGCACCACGTCTCCCACCACCCCACAGGGCTCCAGCGTGATGTGCTATGGAGCAACCAGAGTAGCCAGCGCAGTTTGGCAGGTTGGGAGCGTGTTCCTGCTGTGCCGTGACCCCCACCTCTGCCGAAGGGGTTGGAAGATGTGTGCTGCTCCTCACAGGGGATGAACCTCCTGTTCCTCCCTCCCATCAGCCCGTGGCTATGACATGGCTCCTCTACGTGGTCTGTTTGCAGCAGGAGTGCCCCCAGCCTTGCAGCTTTGCTCCTGTGCCAAACGTGGTACTCCAGAGCTCAGAACATGCTGTCAGCCAAGATCCTAGTTCCCTGCCTCGAAGACATGCCCAGGACCTGGCCATGGCCAGCATGTAGCTCTCACACTGTGGATCTCCTGGTGAGGAACTTCGCCATGAGAAATGGCTCTGGATGGCTGCATTGACCTTTAGCCAAACTCCACATGGCCTCAGCACCAGCAATGCAAGGAGAGATGCTGCTGGACAGTCATGGTTGGCTGTGTCCTGCGGTGTCTCCAGTGGCCACCAGTCTCCCTGCAGTGTTGGGACAGCCCCGGCAGCTCCCCTGCTGCACTCGCCTGCAGGTCAAGCTTGCCAGCAGCTCCCACGACAGCCCTGAAGCCCCAGCTCATGTAGCTGCATCTGCCTGAACCTGGAGAAGTGGAAACCATATCCTGTTCAGGAGAAGGGAACCAAATGGCAGAGGCTGATGTGGTTCCTCCCTACACCTTCCTCCCCTCGAGCGTACATGCCCATGTGCCAGCGCCCCTGAGCACCCTCCTTGTGGGCACTGTGAGCAGCTGTGGGGACACCAGTGTCAAGGAAGCACCTGGTACCAGCCACGCTGGTGCTGAGCAGCAACAGCACACGCATGGGCAACATCACATCCCCATGGAAAACCCAGCCACAACGTGGTGCCAAGCCCCAGCAGCACGAACTGCCTTCTCCTTGCCCCAGCCGAGCAGACGGGGCTTCTCCCTGAGGGTCGACAGCCTTTGCAGGCAGGATTTCCAGATGGCAGCTGAGGTCTGTGAGCATCGTCCCACCGACTTGCAGTGGCTCCATCAATTTCATCTCGCTCCAGCTGAGAAATTGGACCCATTCTACTTTATACGTCAATGTCACATTAATACCAAGTTTTTTGCAAGAGCTCAGTAAAGTCTAGACTGGATCATGAAGTGGTTTGTTCCAGTGCCGTGTGCCTCTTTCCGTCTCTGCCTCCTGGCAAAACTGGCAGGGAGCCCCGTGGTGAATCAGAGCCTCACCCAGCACTGCTGCAGGGTCTGCAAACAGTGAAAGGTGGAGGGATGGAAAAACCAGCAGGGAGAAAGGCCAGGAGCTGTGGGGAAGGGGCATCACCATCTCAGGATGGCAGGTTGATGAACAGCCAGTGTGGGGGCACAGGCCTAGCATCACCAGACAGTCTGAAGTGTCCAAATGTCAGGTCCATGCCAGCTGGCTGTCACCTACCTCCACTCAGGGGAAGTTGGTCCCCTGCCAGTGAGCTCCCCAGCTCCTGGGAGCCAGTGGGGCACTGCCAGTGGGGCTGACCCTGGGGCACAGAAGACTGACTGGAGGGATGAAGGCACGTGGGGCAGTCCCAGCACATCAGCCCATCCGTAGGGAGGTGACCCGAGGGATTTGTCAAACAGTTGCTCATTCCCAGCATGCTGCCCATGTGCCAAGACCACCAGCCCAACCTCCGTGGGGGTCTCAGCCTCAGGATGAGCTGTGAGGAGGAGCGGGGCTCAGGTGGCCACACAGGATGACATGCAAGGTCCTAGCTCCAAATAGGAAGACCAGACCTTCTCAGGAAGGACTGAGTGCTGGCACTAGAGAGTGTCTGGGAGAGCTGGGATTGCTCCTGGGAAAGGTGCTGTACAAGGGGCTGATCCTGGCTGAGGTCCTGCAGCCATCCTGGGTGCTGGACTGGTAGCACTGGAGGAGCTGCTGCTTCCCCCAGCTCCTCGCAGCCCTTGCTGGGGAGAGGTTCCACAGGAGGAGCCCGGTGGGAATTGAGCAGTGTGGCCACACGCTGGGTTGGTTTATGTCTTGAAAATAAAAATGGGAGCAAGACACAGCTGAGGTGACACTTGGTTTATTCTCTGCATGATTTATTTAGCCCTCACCATGAGCTTGCCAAAGGATGCCGCCTTGACCCCCGCCGCATCCCTGGCTTGTCCTGCAGCTCTTGCATGGGCAAGAGATTGTGGCTGGTGGCCACAGTCATCTCATTGTGGCTTTTATGGCCCTGCAATGTGTAAGAACTCGCACCAGAAAGGGCTGTTGCTTCTCCTTGAGAGTTGCCTTTGTCACCCCAGCTTGTGCTTTCCTCTGGAGAACATCTCCAGCTCCTTCCAGGCCATCTCCCAGTATGCTCACTAAGCATTTCCATGAAATGTTGGGGAGAAGCATTTCTGCAGGGAAGGGCAGGAGGTGGCAGCACAGGGAGGTGCAGGGGCAGCCCCAGCCCCTTTTTGAGGGTGACAGGAGGTGAGGCAGCAGCAAGATCTTCAGACTCTGTGCTGAAAACCCACACGGGCTTTTTTGCCCCTGCTCCCATCACTGAGCTAATGCTAGATCTCAGCCTTGGATGAGCTTCAGCCTAGAGAAGAATCTACTGGGGCAGGAACCACTGTGCAGCCTCCCCCATCCCTTGGCAGCCCCTTTGCTGACCCACATCAGTGGGAGCTCAAGGCTTTGTGTCTTTTCAACCCTCATCCTAAACCTTCACCCTCAGCCTGGATCTTGGGTGTTGGCTGGGCCTTCTCAGCACCAGCAGCCCAGTCTCAACAGAAAAAACAACCAAAAGAAGCATTTTTCAACCTGCCCTGTCCTTGGGCAGCACATGGAGGGGTCTGGGGCTTTCTGGAAGTCCCATGGAGATTCTAGAGTGCCCCAAAAGCACCCAGAGATCTTCAGGTCACCAAAAGGCAAGTGGAGAGCTCTGGGACACACCAAAAGGCAAACCAATGACTATCAGGACACAGAAAACCAGACAGATGGCATTTGGATGCAGGAAAAACCAAGCCAAGGAGTCTTGAGGGCATGGAAAGGAACACTGAGGCTGCTGGGGTCACTGAATTGCAGATGGGGAGAGCTGGGGGCACCAAAGGCCCAAGGAGGGCACACAGAGACAGCTCCTGGGGTGCACTGAAAGGCAGAGCAGAGCATCCTCTCACTGGTCCCAAGGGAAATGTTTGCAACAGGGGGGTGCAGACAGCTGGAGAAGGGCATGGACCACAGCCTGGCCAGGGCTAAAGCCTGGTCACCCTGCCTTAGTGGACCCTGCAGATGCGGGGTCTCCTCCAGAAGTGGGGTTCCCTGCGAAGGTTGTGGTAAACCACTGTGATGGAGCCCATGAAGGTGCAGAAGAAGATGCTGGCCATGAAGGAGAAGGGTCCAATGATGAAGAAGGTGATGTAGTGCTGGACAGACAGCGAGGTCTCCTGACATTGCGTGAAGGACTCATTCCCGAAGGCCATGATTGGATACTTGTTCAGCTGCTCTGGGACTCTGCAGAGGAGCAAATTCTTCTCTGGAAGAGAAAAGCAGTGCTGAGGGGCACAGTGGGCAGCTGTGACAGGGCAGGTGTCAAGGACAGAGGGGATGGCAGGTCTGTATGGGACAGACGGGACCAGGGCAGGAGGACAGGGGCCAGGCTGAGCAAGATGACCCAGGGCAGCGTAAAAGAAGGGGAGCAGTGAGGGTTCAGGTCTCATCCTGCAACCCGGGGAGTGGGGTGGGATGGGGAGGTGGGCACAGTGCTGGAGGGGGCACTGGAAAATAGGTTTGGGGCAGGACAGTAGGTGGGACAGGCAAGGTGGTGGGTCTGATTCCTGGGGGACAGACATGGGGAGCAGTGAGCAGCCAGCCTGGAGATGCCACAGAAGGTCCCAGCCAGCACAAGTGACAGGCACACATCCAAACTGGAAGCAAGCAGGAGTGGGTGGCAGAAGAGGGAGAGACCTTGCTGGCAGAGCTGTCTCACCAAGGTTCACAGGGGAATAAATCTAGGATGAGACCCACGTTCATGAAGGCATTGGGGAAGGGGCTGAAACACTGAGTCCTGGCTGGGTCAGTGGTGATGCCCACCCTGATACACAGGTTCTTCTTACCCCTTAGGTGCCCATTGCCCAGACACCTTGTCCTCACCATGGCAGTACTGGTGCCACTGCTGGGGACAGCTCTGGGTGCCTGTCGTTGGGACATTGCCCAGCCCTGCTCCCCAGGCAATCCCTGCTGGTGACCAAGGACCAAGGGTGGGCACCAGGTACCAGACCCAGGGATGTAAACACTGAAGCAGACACAGGAGCTGCCATGGCCTGAGGATGGGTCCTGGGGAACCTCATCGTACCCCCATGGGCACCAGCCATGCAAGCCCACGGCCGGCTGGCAGCCAGGGTGCTGGGTCCTACCTCAGCCCCAACAAGGTGACCAGCCATCATGGAGTGGGTGGGGGGCTTGGGGACAGGGTTCTTCGGGCACTCACCTCGCACTTTTTCCTTGTTTTGGTTGAGCCAGCGCCAGAGGGGCAGGATGCTGCAGCTGCACGCCCAGGGGTTGTCCTGCAGCTGGAGGGCTCGGAGCTGGGGCAGGGCACTCAGCACCCCAGGCTCCAGCTCTCCCAGCCTGTTGCTGCCAAGGTTGAGCTTGGCCAGGCTGGTGAGGGGCAGAAAGGTTTCAGGGGTCAGCATGGTTAAGTGGTTGTTGCTGAGGTCCAGCTCCTGCAGCGCCTCGAGCCCCACCAACGCCCGGCTGTGGATCAGCCCCAGTCGGTTGTGGGTCAGGCTGAGCAGCAGCAGCCCCGGCA